TTATGAGCCTCGTTTAGCGCAAATCACCAGCTGATGAGTCGAGCCCACACCCCCATCCACCTCCTCGGGGCCCATCTCCCCAAAGCTGCAGTTTCCACTGGCCTCCCTGGGGCTGCCACTGAATTTCTAGCCTCCCTGCGCCCCATCCGCCCCGGCTGCAGGGGTCTTGCTGCCGGGTTTGCTGGGCGTTCCTCTGAGTCCCTGTGTATTAACCCCCGCGCCCCTTCCTCGCGACAGGCCACGATCATGGTCTTCCAGGCTCTGGCCCAGTACCAGATGGATGTGTCGGAAACCAAGGACATGGCCCTGGATGTTTCCATTAACCTGCCGGGTCGGAGCAGGCCACTGCTCTGGAGGATCAACAGGGACAATGCCATGGTGGCCCGGACGGAGCGAGTAAGTCCCAGGGCCGTGGAGAGGGGGGACAGGGCTGAGTGCCCCGCCAGGGTGAGGGTGGCACAAGGGTGAATGGCAGCAGACGCAGGCATGGGGGGTCGGTGGAATGGCAGGGGGCTCGCCTGCGTGGGCGGGGATGGCCTGGTCACCCTGGAGAGAGGCCATGGGGAGGGTGGGAAATCGGCCATGTGTGAAGAGGCGGGGAGGGGGATGGCCCTAGGGTGAGGAGGTGCCATGGGCAGGGGGCAGTGCCTTCCCCCTACAGAAAGTGGGGAAACCCAGCCTTGCCCGGGAACAAACCACTTGTGTCTCGGACAACGTGGACGCTAACCTACCCTCTCCCACAGACCAAGCTGACCGATGGCTTCACCATCTCGGCCAAGGGACACGGCAAAGGGACCCTGTCGGTACGTAGGGGCCGCTGAGAACCCTCCCATCGGCCTAGGGGGCTCCTGGAAGAAAGCCCATTTCCCCAGTTGGCAGGGGTCCTCCTGGTTCTGAGGGGGCAGCAACCCCCCCATCTCAGCACTGCCCCCTGCTGGATGGATCTGAGCAGGGCTGCCGGGCAATGACATGATTTGGGGAGGCCACGTCCCTCGTGCCATCCCTCTCTCCCCCATCCCGAGCTTCTCTCAGGTCTGGTCATTTCTATCTGCCCTGGGAATCCTGCGACAGCCTGGCTTTCCCTGAGACCCCTCCCCGTAGACCCCCTGGGCCGGAGCAGCCTGGTCAATATCCCTCCGCTCATCGCCCCTTTCTTTCCCAGGTGATGACGGTTTATTACACACCCCTGACGGAGGGGGCGGCAGCCTGCAAGAAGTTTGACTTTAGCGTCTCTGTGCAAAGGGCACCTGATGGTAAAGAGCTGGGATTCCTGATCGGGGGAGAGGGGGGCTGGTTTGAGGGGTGCCAGGCTGCAAGCCCCCGGTGAGAAAGGGGTTAACGTCCATGCAGCTTACCCCTTTTCTGAGCTGGCTGAGGAACAGAGCTCTGTCACCAGGCCTCAGTGGGGCACAGCTGAGAACGCCAAATTCAGGACAAACTGGTGAAGAATAGAGCAGACTCACCCCCCACCGGTGGTTATTCTGTCACAAGATTATAGCAAGCCAGTAAGACGAGTAAAACTTCTGGCTCACCACCCAGGCACTAGACTTTATGATGAGCGGTTACGGAAAACCAATTTAATCCAATTGTAGGATCCTTCTCATCCCAAGAGAATCAGCCACTTAGCCGGGTCAATCTACAACTCGGATTTTACCCAATAATCATCTTGATGCCAATCCTGTAGTAACTAAAACTAAGGGTTAATAAGAAAAGAAAAGAAGAGATAATAATGGTTAATAGATTATATACACCTCTACCCTGATATAACGCGACCGGATATAACACAAATTTGGATATAACGCAGGGGGCGGGGCGCACACTCTGGTGGATCAAAGCAAGTTCAATATAACGCGGTTTCACCTATGACACAAAGATTTGTTGGCTCCCGAGGACAGCGTTATATCGAGGTAGAGGTGTACATACAAATAATTGCAAAGTCCTGTAGCAATGATGGAATAGACGGCTGGCTTGTAAAGTCTCTCTGGGAACTTCCAAAAGACTGGAAGGTCCTCAGTCCATAGTTCAAAATGCTCCTTCTAATTGTAAATCCACAGGCCAGAGAATCAGGGCAGGAAAGTGGCAAAATGAAGCCATCTCAGGGGTCTTTTATCTCCTCTACCATGTGCCCGGAGACGTACGGTCTCTGTTTGGGCAAAGTTACTGGCCTGAGATGGAGTCCAGGTCACATGGGCATATCACCCCTCCTTGGCAAGTTTGATAATTCACAGGGCAGCCATTGTCTGTGGCCCATTGTTAGAGTGAAGTGTCCTTAATGGGCCATCACCCCACAGCTGTCTAGCCTTGATGTAAATCTTATCTGATGGGTGTTACCCGGGAATACAGCACAGGTGTAAGATACAAGTCCCTGGGCAATAGTCATCACTTTAGGTACACAGCTGATACATGCATATAAACAGGACAATCCTACTTAGCAAATCATCACTTTTCCATGACACGCTTTGACAAGACTTGTTGCAATTGTATAACAGTGGCATTATCGGTCATCAGTTCAATCCCACAGCCTGAGGCTGTTTCAGAACCGGGTTCCAGCTGCTTGCTTGGGGCTTGCTTGGAGCAGGGGTGCACAGACAAGGTTTGAGCACGGGGTTCTCCCAGAAATGGTCCCCTTGGCTCATGATTAGCCAGGAGCCGCAAGGGGCTGGGGAAGCAGGTTGGGGTGTGGATGAATTTCCCCACTGAAAAAAAAGTTGCTTCCTCTACAGGCTTTGATCTCAGAACCTAACTACGCCCCAGTGCGGTGAGGGACGCATTAGCCACTTCAGAGATGGGGAAACTAAGGCACGGGTCACTCAGCAGCACGGTGGGGTATAGAACCCTGGTTCCCATTCCCCACCTAGATCGTTAAACCCCATTCCCCTCCCAGAGGCAAGGCTAGAACCTAGGAGTTTTGATTTCTAGCCCCCCTGCTCTAACCATTAGACCCCACCCCTCTCCCACAGCTGGGACTACTGGACCCTAGGGCTCCTGATTGGCATGCCAGTAACCACTAGATCCTTTTTCTTCCCGTGAAGGAAGCAGCCACACTTGGCAAACAAACTAGTCACAACTGACACTTCCCTGGAAACCATATCAGAGATCGAAAAGATTAGGGTTGTTTACAAGAAGGGAGGAACTGAAGGGATGGGATAGAGCTGCATACAGAGGAAGGTGAACAGTCAAGAACCCGCAGTTCAATTCTGCTCTGCCACAGATTCCTGTCACACCTTGGGCCGGTCATTTAGTCTCTCGGTGCCTCAGTTTCCCTATCTGGAAATGGGGGGAAATGGGACTTCCCTCCCCCACAACGAGGACAGACTGTGAGGTGCTCAGATACTAGGGCGATGGGGCCCGGAGAAATACTTTGGAGAGAGAGGAGAAGTCCTGTCTCTTATCTAGTGCTTTTCATCAGTGGCTCTCAAAGGGACAGATCTTTAAAGGTATTTAGGCTCCTAGCTCCTATTGAAATCAATGAGAGTTAGACACCAACGTACCTTTAACTGTCTGGCCCCAAGCACTTCCCAGAGGAGATACAAGGACAAAGAGGCACTGAAAGAGAGACAAGGAACCACACAGGACAGATGAGAATCGTGTCGCTTAAATGAGCGACTGGAAGGCGCCCAGACACTGCGGTGATGGGAGCAGGATAAGGACCAGTGTAGAACAGGCTGGGATAGTTTGGTACCCATCTTGTGTGACTGTGTCTGTAAGTGGGGTGGGGGAATCCCTGAGGAGCTGGGAGTCCTCCCCTCGGAATAAATTTGGGACGATCCTGGTGCATTTCCTTTCCGGAACCATTTTTAAATGCTGGGGGGGGGGGTTGGGGGACGACACATTGATGAGACAGGAATGTGACCCCCCCTGCTGTGCTGATGGGTCTTTGCAGCCAAGAAGCCAGAAGGAGCCCTGGACTCTGTGTTCATCCAGATCTGCATGCGGTGAGTCAGACCAGGTGGGAGCTGCACCAGGCCCCCCTGCCGTCTCCCCCCACCCTAGAATGGCGGAGAGCGTGTCAGATCCTGGCTTGAGGCGTGCGTCCACGTCTCCGTTTAGTGCAGCGGTTCTCAAGCGGTAGGTCGCAGCCCCGCTTTAATGGGGTCGCCAGGGCTGGCATTAGACTTGCTGGGACCTGGGGCTGAAGCGGTGAGGCTCAGGCTTTGGCCCCCCATGCTGGGTGTGGGGCTCGGGCAGACTCAGGCTTCAGTCCCCCCTCCTGGGGTCGTGTAGTCACTTTTCTTGTCCGAAGGGGGTCGCGACGCAATGACGTTTGAGACCCCTGCTCTAGTGGTTAGTGTCCCTGTAGCAATGATAACCAATGGGAGTTAGGCACCTAAATACCTTGGAGGATCTGGGCCCTGGGGCCTGCAGCAGCCAGCGTGATTTCCAGGCCCACCCTCTCCCCAAGCCCCATTCAGCTTTCTTTTCCTGGCTATGGAGCCCACCGCCAGGCCGGCCGATCTCCTTGACTGTACCCCGGCTGTTTTGGGTACAAGCTCTAGATTGCCCCCTAAAGAGGTACAACACCCTCCACAGCCCCCCAGGGGGGTATTTTTTCGGGGGGTGGCCTCCAGGATCTGCTTTCCGCTCCCCACGGAGGTCTGTCTAGCAGCCATCGACGCCCAAATTTGTGCTCCTCGGGACCCACGCCTCCCCTCTCCCGCGGCAGCCAGGAAGGGCCGTGGAGACAGCCTGCTGGGCTAGCAGCCTCCCCGGTGGCTTCGTCCAGCCAGCGTCCACTGGTCAGTGCCAGTGGCCTCCATAGAGGGATCCGCTTCGTTGCCTGGCGGGTGTTTTCCTAGCCAAATCCTCTATGCGTCCTCCAGGTTCCTGGGAGGGGTGGACTCCACCATGACCATCCTGGACGTCTCCATGCCCACAGGCTTCTCTCCAGACATGGACGACTTGGATAAGGTGAGCCCCACCCCCTCAAAGTGCGGGGAGTCGACTGCTCCCCTGGGACCAACCTAAGAGTGGTGGCGGTGGTGGTGGTTCAGGCAGGGGGGTTAAACTCTTCCATGCCAGGATCACACACACACAAACTTAGCCATCTGGGAAGGGCATCACAACCTCCTGATGCTGGCTGGGTCAGGAAACAGGGGCTTGGTGCCTTTCACCTCTTGGTCACCCTCGGTCACAGACTCCGACCCAGCTTGGGGCAACAGTAGTTGTTCTCGGCTGGTGGCTGTTTGGTGGGTTCTCAGCCCAGTTCCTAGCGGGACAGGAATGTCACTGTGTCACTGGCACGAACCAGCCCCCTCGTTGGCAGCCCCGGTGTTAGACAGGCCAAGGAGATGGTGCTCCCCTCTCGTTCCTAAGGCGGGGTCCCTCCCAGGCAGGGTTGAACCACTTCCAGAGAGGGTGAGAAGCGCAGGAGGACTCACACTGTCGATGCCCTGACCAGGTGTCACAAGAGGAATCAGATCCTGGGGATGTCAGTCGGCCAAGCCTTGTTCATGGGATCAGAGTGGAGAGCAAGACGCAGATAGTAGGGGGTGGGGCAGGGGGTACGAAGCCAGGAGGGGCAGAGCTGGGCACCCCCAAAGCTTTGGCAGAGGTGGGGCTGAAGTGGGCACCATCCAGCTTGCGGATTCTACCGGCTGATCCGTTTGGTTTCCATGCCCAGCTCACGAACCGTGTGGACAAATACATCTCCAGGTTTGAACTGGACACGGACCTGTCTGAGAGAGGCTCCCTCATCCTCTATCTAGACAAGGTACGGCTTGGCCATCGCCCGCTTCTTTCTTTCCCCACCTTTCTCTCTCTCTCTGTCTCTCTCTCTTTCAGTCACACTTAATATTAAGGTCCGACTGATAATGGATTAATAAATGCTTGAGAGCGACTGATAAATGGCCAATCAATTGTTATGGAGCCCAGCAGATCAGTAGGTTTCTGAACCCATCTCTGGGTACGTCTACACGGCAGCTGAAGGTGTGATTCCCAGCTCGGGTAGACCGATGCATGCTAGCTCCGCGCGAGCTAGTGCGCTAAAGATAGCAGTGTGACTGCAGCGGCTAGCCACCCTCGGATCTCAGACCCTAGCCACCCTCGGATCTCAGACCAGACTTTAGTTGGGCAACCAGCCTGAGCTGCTGTCACTCGTGAGGTATGATGCTTCTGTTTTCAGGCACTAGCTCACAGGTGCATCTACCCAAGCTGGGGATGACGCCTCCCAGTTGCTGTGTAGACACAGCCTAGAACACCTTCTGCTGATAGCCGTCTGCAGCACATCCTGCTCCCGGCTGACATGGGGACAGCCTCCATTCATCATGCATTAACCCTTCAGACCAAGGCTCCCATTACAAAGTGTGACCGATATTTGGGTGGCTCCCAGAAGCCCCTGATTGGGGGTGGGGGGCAATGTTCCCTCTAATTTCTTCTAATTTGGGGAGGGGGGGGTCTCCTCAAACTGCGTAAGGATCCAGCATCCACCGTGCTCCCAGTTCCCAGTGTAGGGGGCAGATCAGGCACCTGGCCAGAAGATGACCTCCTGAGGTCCCTTCCAACCCTGATAGTCTATGATTCTATGAATGAACACGCTGTGCTGCGGCTATTCGCTAGTCAGAGCGGCCCTGAAGCGGCTCTAATCTATACTGGGGCCCTGCACAGTCACACGAGATGGGGAGCACAAAGGGGGGTGGCGTTTAAAGCCCCTGCCACCCCGTTATGCCCCCTGTGCCAAGTGCAGAGTGGAGTAACTGGGAATCGGGCCCTTTGCCCCCTTATTGGTGTTCTCTCCTGCCTGCAATGACTGGGCCATTCCAGCGCCTAAGGGCCTTTCTCTTCCTCCCTAGGTGTCCAGCAAAGAGACAGATTGTCTGAAGTTTAAAGCTCACCAGCACTTCGAAGTGGGTCTGATCCAGCCGGCAGCCGTGACGGTGTACGAGTACTACTCCCTGGGTTAGAGCATTCATCACTCGCTCGTCTCAGCACGCTAGCCCCCGCGAACAGTCAGACAGAGCCCTGGTGTAGCGCGTTACCGAATCAGAACAGGCTTGATCCTTATCACCCCACTAGCTCTTCAGGAAGGCAAGACAGTGAGGTGCCTAGGGCACTAGCCTGTGAGGCAGGAGATCTGGGTTTGATTCCCCAGCTCTGCTTTTGACCTTGTCGCTCTGTGACTCAGTTTCCCCCTTCATAACATAGGGAGAATAGCTCTGTCCCAAAAACAGCTGTAAAGCTCACGCAGTGCTCAGCTACACGGATAGCTCTTCTCTTGAGCTGCCTTCAGAGTCTTGCGGCTGGGACTCGGGGAAACCTGGGTTCTGTTCCCAGCTCTGGTTAGAGCAGTGGGGGCTGGGAGTCAGGACTCCTGGGTTCCTTTGCCACTGACTCCCTGGGTGACCTTGGACAAGTCACTTCATTGCTCTATGCCTCAGTTTCCTTTCTGGAAAAAGCCTTTCCACCATAAGACTAACACCCCACCCCCCCCCAAAAAAGAAATGATCACTAGTTTGCTGGCCTCTTTAAACCAGAGCATCCAGACCTGAGAGGAGCTAATTTAAGGGGAATGAGCCCACCTGGGTAGTTAATTGACTAACGAGCACCTGGGCATGATAAAAGCCCATCATTAGGTGGCGGTGCTGAGAGAGAAGCGCTCCGAAGGGTGAGGTGCTCTGGGAGAAATGCAGGCCCCATAGAGGCAGGTGGCTGTGCAACCCCCCCCCCCCCCCCCCGACCCCGTAAGGGGAAAGCCTTTAATTCAGTGTTATTTGTATTTAGTAAAGAAGAACCCTGGCAGGGGAATTTGGACATATACATTTTTGCAGTGTGTGGCGTTCTAAAGGGAAACTGAAGCAGACTGTGCTTGCAGTACCACCCTAGGCCAGGAGGGGGCAGTACAGGATGGGCCACAGAAATAAAAGTTCAACAATAAAATCAAACCCCAAACTCCTTCCCCAGCTGCGTTTTAGCTCCAAAAAGGGAGAAGAGCCAGAGACTCCATTAAGTTCACAAAGGACTTCGCTGGTGATTTTACATGGAAGATGCCTAGATACTATGGTGACAGGCAGCTAGATAAAATCCTAAAGTACACAGAGATTCCCCAGGGAATCGAAGCCAGATTTTCCAGACAGAATAACCCGTCCTTAACTCATAGCTCTTTGGGGCAGGGACTGTCTCTCCCTGTTCGTGCAGCATCCGGCATCAGGGGGCCCTGATCACAGGGGTCTGTCTCTCACTGTGTGTCTGTGCACAATGGGGACGCTGATTCTAGGCGTTACCATTATACACCTAGTAACAACCCTTTTCTCTCTCTCAGAAAACCGCTGCACAAAATTTTACCACCCAACCCAAGACAGCGGCTTGCTGAAGGTGCTGTGTGAGGGAGACGCCTGCCGTTGCATGGAAGGTAAAGGGAGACCGAAGGGAGGGGAAAATTTCTCTGCTCTGTCCCTTCACTGGCGTCTATGTTACAGGCTGGAACTGCAACTGACCTGGTGGGCTTGGGCCAGTGCGAGCACCGGGGATACAGCGCCAATGCGCTAGCCCTGCCAGGTGCCGGCCCGTGGCAGCTCAGGGATCAGCAGCCCTCAGCATGGAGCGAGCTTGGGGGATCTGGGTCCAGATTGTGCTCCTAGAACGCTCCCTCTGTGATTCTCTGGTGGGGAGAATCTGTGGATGCTTCCAGCTCCTACCTTGGCACAGATAACATGCAAAGCGACCTCTCCTCCTTGGCCAGGCCCTGATCTCTGGCTGCCTCTGGGACCTTTCCACGTGGAGGGGGCGTCAGGACTCCGGGGTTCTATTCCTCGCTCTGGGAAGCGAGCGGGGACTAGTGGTCAGAGCAGTGGAGGGCTGGGCGTCAGAACTCCGGGGTTCTATTCCTCGCTCTGGGAAGCGAGCGGGGACTAGTGGTCAGAGCAGTGGAGGGCTGGGCGTCAGGACTCCTGGTTCTATTCCCACCTCTGCCATTGATTCATCCTGTGACCTAGGGCAAACTCATTGGCCTGTTTATGCCACAGCTTCCTTGTCTGGGCAATGAGGGTGACACCCACCCATCACCCAGGGGGGCTGTGAAGCTGAATTCATTCATGTCCATAAAGGACGTCGAAAGCCTGGTGTGAAAGGGGCTGTCAACCTGCCACTTCACTAGGATCATCTGCTTGCGTCCCCAGAGAAATGCAGCCTGATCAAGAAATTTAAACAGGCCCCCGCTGACATCTCCGTCCGCATCGAAGCCGCGTGCGAGGCTGGGGTGGATTATGGTAAGACAGGCCCTATGTTCTGGTTTCATTTCTCCTGATCGGCTGTTGTCCAGGGGAGGGCCAAAGCTGGGGGGTGGCAGAGTGAGATCTGCTAGTGATCCCAGAGGCAATGAACTCCTGATCTGGGCAGAGATCATTGCAATGAGCGTAGCGGCAGCAGAGAAGAAGCAGGCCACATAACGGGGTATGTGTGAACTCCACCACGTTCCTTGGCTAATACAGAGATGGGGGCTCTGGGCTGGGAGTCAGCGGATCTGGGATTTATTACTGCCTCTGACCTGCTGGGTGACCTTGGGCAGGTCGTAGCCCTTCTGTGCCTCGGTTTCCCCAATTATAAAATGGGGATAACGATACTGACCTAATTTGAGATCTACTGATAAGAACTAGGTACAATTATTTCTCTGCAATGGGTGGCTGAACTTTTTTAATGAGTGTTTTTTTCCCACCTGTTGCTCAGCCATTCTGAGTTAAATATTTAAAATCCCCTGAGTTTTAAACAGTCTGAATAAAACCCACTCCCGCTTCCCAGTTAGACTGAGGACAGCCATGCCTGGGAGATCTGCTCTCCGGGCAACCACAGAGGTCTCCGGTGGGGGGAAAAAGAGTCTGAATTTATCATACATCTTCCCCCAGACCTTTTACACAGCAAGAAAACCTGGGTCAAGCCTATTCCCACCCCCACCTGAGACCCATTGATGTAGAACCCTACATCCCACGCCCCCACTGATCTAGGAAGCAGCCAAGCACTGAGCAAGTGAAGTGGGATTCTAGATGATGACTGGTGTGGTCCCTTTGCCCCAATGGGTGGGATTTGATTCTATTCTATATAAGTTCTTGTCCCATAAGACACAGATCTGGAAGGGACCCTCTGGGTTATCAAGTCCAGGCACCCCCGTCATCATGGGTGTCTGGCCTGTATTCTGTAGAGCAGCCTAGACGGTCACGCTGGCCCCTTCGGGCTTCAACAGATCTCTGACTCCCATCTTCTCCCCCAGTCTATACAGCTCAGCTGGTGAAGGTGGAGCAGAACGGGATGTACAATTACTTCACCATGAGGATTGTGCAGGTCATTAAGGAAGGTAACGGTGCTTGCTGTGAACGTCTGCCCACGTCTCACCCTATGTGCCGGCTGTCCTCGTTACGGGGTGCAATGCTGCTCTCTCCCCCTCCTCCCCCCCGCGCTCAGGGGCTTTTCACCTGCGTTTTATTTCTGTACATCTGGGAGGTGAATTTAGTGCTCCTTGAAAACGACGGAGTACATAGTACCAGCTGAGAACCGCACAGTTCAGGAGGGTTCCATTGAAGTCAGTCCATGCAGCTGATGCCCCTCAGTCCCGACCCACAGCCCCCTGCAATCCCAGCCCTGGGCTTCCCCCTCCCCCAGCTCTGTCAGTGCCCCTCCATCCTGACCCACAGCCCCCTGCTAGCCCAGCCCTGGGCTTCCCCCCTCCAGCTCTGTCAGTGCCCCTCCATCCTGACCCACAGCCCCCTGCTAGCCCAGCCCTGGGCTTCCCCCCACTCCCAGCTCTGCCAGTGCCCCTCCATCCTGACCCACAGCCCCCTGCTAGCCCAGCCCTGGGTTCCCCTTTCACCTTCAGTCATGTCCCTTAGACCCCCTGCTTGCTATCCCCAGGGCCGGATTAATCTTTTGTGGGCCCCGGCACCCAGACCTTGGCCCTGTCCCCTGCTCCATCCTGAGGCTCCGCCCCCGCTCGGCTCCTTCCCACTGAGACCCCTCCCATGCTCCGCCCTGAGGCCCCACCCCTGCTCGATCTCTTCCCTCCAAGGCCCCGCCCACCGCTTGCACAGGGGAGGGGGCAGAGAGGAGCAAGTGGTGGGTGGGGCCACAGGGGGCGGGGCCATGGTGCGGGCACCAGGGCCCCCTCTGAGTGTGAGCCCAGCGTCATTGTAAACCCAGTACTGGCCATGCCACACCTCGCCTTCCCTCTAAGTAGCTCTGCTGATGCACCTTAATCCCATCCCAAGCCCCCCTGCTATTCCAGCCCTGTGTTCCCCCCCTTCAGCTCTGCCAGTGCCCATCATGTCATCAGAGACGTTGTGAAAAACGGCCTTGCTTGTCCCCGAGAGCACGTCACGCTGAGGTGTGCAGCTGGAAAACGCTCCAGACTGATCAATGGTCCAGTTATCTCCAGGGTGGGCACTGGCCCCGCATCCCCCCCCCGGTGGCTTCAACCTTGGTCGTCTCATAACAGCTCCCCGCACCCTGAGCCTACCAGAGGCTCCGCGGGAGAGGCCAACGTTTCCAAACACTGTCTTTGTTCTAGATCAGAACAAAGCCAAAAATCGAACCTTCCTGCGGGTCAGTGGAAACGTTCCTTTGCGATCAAATCAAACTCTTCCATTCTGATCTCGACTTTTCCAAATGTTCTAGTAGAAAAGAAAATCATTTTCTAACCAAAAATATTCCAGTCTCCGATGGTCAAAGTGGAGGATATTGGCTGTATCAAAAGGCTTTTTTCAATTTTTTTTAAAACAAAGTTTTGTCCGTATCAATACGTTCCTCCTGATTTCTACAAAACGGTATTTTGCAACAGAAAAATGTTCTGTTCAAAAAATGTTGATCAGCGTTACCCCTGCCTGAGAGGCAGCCAGCCTCCTTTCTGATGCAGGCTCTGAACTGGCTGCTTCTTTCATCCCATTTAGCTGCATGTTTTCAAAGATGACTAGGAGAGTTAGACACTCAATTCAGTGTGATTTGGGCTCCTAAATCCCTTTGGCTCTTTTGAAAATCCCAGACTAAATTTCAAACCTGCAGCATGTTTACTTGCCGTATATATTTCAGTCGCTCGCTGTCGCTGTGCACTGAAGAGTCCCAGACAGCATGTGGTCCCTGGTAAACAAGAGAGACAAAGCTGCGTGTCAAGCTCTGTGGAAGCCAGTTTTTTAGAGCCTGTGATTGTTTCCTTTAATAAACGCCCCCTATTTAAAGGACTGTGATTCCACGTCTTGTGACCATGGGAGTCCTTTTCCAACAAGACGCAGGAGGCCAGATTCTGATCTGATTTACACCAGCATAAATCCGGAGTGAGTCTATTGACAGGGATTTTGAGCTCACCTGGCCTGATGTCATAAGAACTGAGCCGTACTGGGTTAGACCAATGGTCCATCTAGCCCAATAGCCTCTCTTCCGACAGTGGCCAATGCCAGGTGCTCCAGAGGGAATAAATCATCGAGTGATCCATCCCCTGTTGTCCACTCCCGGCTTCTGGCAGTCAGAGGCTAGGCACACCCACAGCATGGGATTGTATCCCGGACCATTTTGGCTAACAGCCATTGATGGACCTATCTTCCAAATGTCAAGCCAGAGAGACCCCGCGGAGACAGATTCTGAGCACATGTCAAACTAAAAGAGACCCTCTTTGAAATCAAGAGTCACTCTGGATTGGCACCTGTTTAACTGAGATCAGACTCTTCTGCAACGGGTCTGACTCCTGTTCGCTGATCCGTCGCCAGCGATCAGTCTGTTCCCCGTGCTCATAGGGCATCCCTGGCTTTTTTTTTTTTAAAGGGACAGAGCAAAGCATCCAGGGGAAGACCCGTCGATTTATCAGCCCAGTGGCTTGCAAGGCGACCCTGAACCTGCTGGAGAACAGGAGCTACTTGATCTGGGGCCTCAGCAGTGACCTGTGGGACCTGAAGACCGAGTGAGTCTCCAGCAGGCTCCTGGAGAGGCAGGAGGATTATGAGGCGGGTGGGTTGGTGGTTAATGCACTAGGCTGGGACTCAGGAGAAGTGGGTTCAATTCCCAGCGCTGCCACTGACCCCATGTGATCTTGGGTAAGTCATGTCATCTCTGTGCCTCAGTTCCTGGGCTGTTTGGGGCAGGGATGCAGCCAGCCACAGCGGGGCCCTGAGCCAAGTGCTCCCATACTAACAATGGGGGGTGGTTCTCCTTAGTGCCCTGTGATCTCTGCCAGGCTGTACCCTGGACATGCGGGGTCCCCCCCTCATCCCCCAAGGGCTGTGTTAATGTTTCCTCCTGCTCTCTTTCCCAGGACAGCGTACTTGCTCGGGAGTGGCTCCTGGGTGGAGCTGTGGCCAACCCCCCAGGAATGCCAGCAGGGACATTTCCAGGCCCTCTGCAAGGGGCTGGAGGCGTTTGCCCAGCACATGGTGACAAACGGCTGCCCTTCATAGACCGAGAAGAAGAGGACCCAGGAACGTCACCAGCTGTCACCCTTTCTGTGGGGAGGTCTCCCTCATCCCCCATCTCTCGTGTAAATTAGAGTCACGGCAGAACCGTTATACATTTCACAGCAGCAGGGATAGGACTCGCACCCTCCTGCATGCAGTCCCCTACCTCTCAATCTGCAGAGTCACGGCAGAACCGTTATACATTTCACAGCAGCAGGGATAGGACTCGCACCCTCCTGCATGCAGTCCCCTACCTCTGAATCTGCAGGAGAATCTCCTTCAGCTGCTCGTAGCTTAGGGCTTATGACACCCAGCGATGCAGTTCAAATTCCATCCAGTAGAGGGCAGCAGTGGACACACACACACACACACACACACACATACACACACACACACTCACTCACTCACTGCTGTTTTCCATAACCCTCTCTTATCCTTGTAATACCCCCTGTTCTGCAATTTCTAGAGACATTGATCCAAGCTCTCTGGACACAGAGGACAGAACGGTACTGTGTGTGGGTCATCCCCACCCCTGAGATACCCAAGGGCTCTGTCATTTCTTTACACCGTGGCACACTTCCCGGTGTAACAGTCCCTGAACTGATTTCTCCTTTGTACAGCACCTGTTGCAATGCCCCCCCCCCCCCGAATCCTCAGTCCAGAAACTTTGTGCCTCCTGGGGCAGCAATTCTAAGGCATCTGTCTGGGTTTGTACCTGTTTTATCCTGAATGTGAATAAAGTTTGGCGGCAGCAGGGAAATGGCGATCAGCACCCAGTAGGGGAGATTTATTTCATGACCTGCTCTAGACTGACTCCAAGCCCCCTATAACACTAGGGAAACTCAATGCCCCGTGTGGATGCTCTAGATTGTAAGATTTTGGGGCAGGGACTGTCTTTTCATTCTGTGGCTATACAGCGCCTGGCACGGTGGGGTCCTGGGTGCTGTGATCATACAAATAATTTAAAATTGCCTGGAATAAAGGTGACTATTCCAGAATGACTCTGCATTAGAAGCACCCTAATGTCTGCAGAATAAAGTGACCTGGTTTGCAATTGAGTATCCGCAGGAGAAGCTCCAGTCAGTTTCTCTGTATAGACCAGGAAGGGTGATGATCTAATGGTTAAAGTATTGACCTAGGCTGTCGGAGCCCTGGATTTAATTCCCTCGTCTGTCCTCCTCTGGCCCCTGGGCAAGTCACATGGCCTCTCCGTGCCTCGGTTCCCCCGCTGATCAACAGGGAAGACAGCACTGCCTCCCAGGGGGTCGAGGATAAACCCATTAAAGAGTGTGACGTGTTTGAGTTCCAGTGATGAAAAGCACCATAGAAGAAATAGGGGTTATGTCATTACCAAGTTCGCCCCGTGCCCAGCCCTTCTTATGCAGCAGAAAGACGAAGGGGGAACATTTTGGCTAAGATTCCTGAGCACGGACCCAGCCTCGGTACATCTGTGCGCAATCCAACAACCCTAAGCCATCTCTGTGGTAATAGGCCAAGGACCCTCCCGTGCTGTTTTGCTGAGCAGTCTGGTTGGTTTTTGCTCGGAACGGGCACATCTCAGCAAGTGGCGGTTGGTTTAAAGCCTTCCGTGATCCAGAGGCTTGATTCTCACTTGCCCTACTGCCCCTTTGATGCTGCTGTTGCAAAGAAAAGGGACCATAACCCTGAGAGATCTCTCCTGGCAGAGGGCATTGCTTGAGCTGCTAACCCCTTGAAGCTCCTGACACAGGGGATGTGTTCAAGGTGGAGTGGGCATGGCCAGCATGAAAAACTAGTCAAACAGCCGTCCAGATTAGTTAGTGGTGCGTAGCCACGCCCCCTTGGCCCTGGCCACGCCCCTCAGGCCAAGGGCCACATGTGTGCTCCACATCACTGCAGGGAAGCCCTGCTGGCTCTTCAGTGTGTAAATTAGAGTAGCCTCAAGGCTGCTGTAAACTATGCGGGAAGGGACAAAAATGGTGTAAACCCACCGCTGCCCCTGTCCCTGATGCCAGTGGTGAATGGATCTCAGCCAGAGCAGGGAATCAGGGGCCCAGACTGCTGTCTAGCCCACGCCTTCCAGGAATTGTGGGGTACGAAGCCCCCATGTGGGCAGCTCCTCCCTGGGCTGGTTCCGGGCCTTGCCCCAGCCAAATCCCAGAACTGCAGTGAGCAGGGAAATTGTTACTAAGACCATAAGAACGGCCGCACTGGGTCAGACCAATGGTCCATCTAGCCCAGTATCCTGTCTCCGACACGAATCAGAGGGGTGGCCGTGTTAGTCTGGACCTGTTTAAAGCGACAAAGAGTCCTGTGGCACCTTATAGATTCCAAAACGTCTGTTAGTCTATAAGGTGCCACAGGACTCTTTGTCTTCCGACAGCGGCCAATGCCAGATGCTTCCAAGGGCAGGGCCGCCCAGAGGATTCAGGGGGTCTGGGGCAAAGCGGGGGAGCTTGTACTCACCAGGCGGCGCTCCGAGTCTCCGGTGGCGGCGGCATTTCGGCGGCGGGGGGTCCTTCAGTCGCTCTGCGTCTTCGGCAGCACTGAAGGGCCCCCCCCGCTGCCGAAATGCCGCCGAAGACCCGGACCGCCGCCGGGTGAGGAAAGGGATTCTCGGCCAGGGCTCGCGGGGGCCCTGCAGGGCCCAAGGCCTGGGGCAAATTGCCCCACTTGCCCCCCCCGGGTGGCCCTGTTCAAGGAAATGAACAGTACAGGGCAATCATCAGGTGATCCATCCTCTGTTGCCCAGTTCCAGCATCTGGCAGTCAGAGGTTTAGGGACACCCTGACTGTCTTGGTTAATAGCTATTGATGGACCTAACCTCCATGCACATATCTAATTCATTTTTGAACCCAGGTATAGTTTTGGCCTTTGCAACCTCCCCTGGCAGCAAGTTCCACAGATTGACTGTGCGTTGTGCGAAGAAATACTTCCTTTTGTTTGTTTTAAGCCTAATGCCTATTAATTTCATTGGGTGACCCCTGAGTCTTGTGTTATGTGAAGGGGTAAATAACACTTCCTTATTCACTGTCTCCACACCATTCCGGATTCTAGAAACCTCTAGTTTATCCCCCCTTAGCTGTCTCTTTTTTTAAGATGAACAATCCCAGACCTTTTAATCTCTCCTCCTATGGAAGCTGTTCCGTACCCCTAATCATTTTTGGTGCCCTTCTCTGCACCTTTTCCATTTCTAATACATCTTTTTTGAGTTGGGGCGACCAGAACTGCACACAGTATTCAAGATGTGGGTGTGCCATGGATTTATGTAGTGGCATTATGATAATTCTGCCTTATTATCTATCCCTTTCCTAATGGTTCCTACCAGTCTGTTCGCTTTTTTGACAGCCCCTGCACGTTGATCAGATGTTTTCAGAAAACGATCAATGATGACACCAAGATCTCTTTCCTGAGAGGTGACAGCTAATTTAGATCCCATCATTTTGTATGTACAGTTGGGATTATATTTTCCAATGTGTTTTACTTTACATTTATCGACATTGAATTTCATCTGCCATTTTGTTGCCCAGTCACCTAGTTTAGTGAGATCCCTTTGTAACTCTTCGCTGTCAGCTTGGGTTTCCAAAATTACTCAAGATTGTTATCATCTGCAAACTTTGCCACCTCACTATGTACAGCTTTCCCCAGATCATTTATGAATACGTTGAACAGCACAGGCACCAGTACAGATCCCTGGGAAACATCACTATTTACCTCTCTCCATTCTGAAAATGACCACTTATTCCTACCCTTTGTTTCCTATCTTCTAACCAGTTCATGGGAGCATTTTCCCTCTTATCCCATGACGGCTTACTTTGCTTAAGAGCCTTTGACGAGGGACCTTGTCAAAGGCTTTCTGAAAGTCCAAGTACACTATATCCACTGGATCCCTCTTGTCCACATGTTCATTGAGCCCCTCAAAGAATTCTAGTAGATTGGTGAGGTATGATTTCCCTTTACAAAAACCGTGTTGACTCTTCCCCAGCAAATTATGCTCATCTATGTGTCCAACAATTCTGTTCTTTACCTTAGTTTCAGCCAATTTGCTGGTACTGACGTTAGGCTTACTGGCCTGTAATTGCCAGGATCGCCTTTGGAGCCTTTTTAAACAATTGGCATCACATTCGCTATCCTCCAGTCATGTGGTCCAGAAGCTGATTTAAGTGGTAGGTGACATACCACAGTTCTGCAGGGTCCCCCTTTATTATTTTAAAGAATTTATAATTGAACTTTTTTTGAATCTCAAAAGCATTTTCGGGGTCAGAACACGGAGGACTGGGGGGGGCTCCCACGACACAATGAGACCCAGCAAGTTGCGTTTGGAAATATATTAGCTGGTCATGGCCAGTACAGGAACATGTCGGCATTGTAATGCTGTGCAATTTCATTCAAGATGCATAAACTGACAGCGGATCAGCCCTGGGGAACAGTTGTTTGGACCTGCACAACAAAATGGCCCAAACCTCAAAAAACACCTCAGACAAATACTTCAAAGCTTGGCTACTTCAAAAGAAAGTGCGTATATAAAAATAAATCAAGGGCAGCAGCAACTCAGCTGTCATGCTCCAACCCTACAATAACAAAGCCCCATGTCCATGCTCCAACCCTACAATAACAAAGCCCCATGTCCATTCCTCCAACCCTACAATAACAAAGCCCCATCGGCAGGCTCCAACCCTACAATAACAAGCTACTGCACAGGTGACCCTACAATAACAAAGGCCCACGTGCATGCTCCAACCCTACAATAACAAAGGCCCACGTGCATGCTCCAACCCTACAATAACAAGCTACTGCATAGGTGCCCCTACAATAACAAAGGCCCATGTGCATCCTCCAACCCTACAATAACAAAGCCCCATCGGCAGGCTCCAACCCTACAATAACAAGCTACTGCACAGGTGCCCCTACAATAACAAAGGCCCACGTGCATCCTCCAACCCTACAATAACAAAGCCCCATGTCCATGCTCCAACCCTACAATAATAAAGCCCCAGCGGCAGGCTCCAACCCCCCCATAGCAAGCCGCCCTGCACCCCCGGGTTACCTTGCAGTGGGGCGGGGACGGCCAGAGGGTGCCGCCCCCCTCCCGGGGCTGGACAGGCAGGAAGGTCGGGGCATGGGGGAGCGCTGGGCAGGGCTGGGGGAGGCCGGCTTGCAGGGACTACAAGCCCCGGCGTGCTGCGGGCTCGCGGGGCGTTTCCCTCGGCCGCTCGGATGAAGGAGCCGTAGCTGGAGCTGCTGCAAGGCGGGGACTGGCGGAGCCGGTGGCGATCCAGCTCGCAGCGGTGCAGGTAGGCGGGGGGCTGGGCTCCGAGCTCCCGGCTCCAAGGGCAGCTGAATCCCGCAGCAAGGGGGTCCCCCCCCATCTCGGGGGGCAGGGGAGGGGGTAAAGCGGGGCTTCGCCTTGTGCTCAGCCCTCCCCCGATCCTGGGGGGGCTGGGAGATTGGGGTGCATGGGGGGGGAGTAAGAAAGGTTGGGGGTGCATTGCGGATCCGAGCCCAGGAGGACCCAGGGGTGCACTGGGAAGAGCTGAGAACTAGGGGGAGCAGGGGGTGCCTTTGGGAAGGGGAAAAAGCGGCGGGTGGGGTGCAGGAAAGATCAGGGTGCCATGAGAGCAGGGGTGTATTGGGGAGCAAGATCTGGGAGCTAGGGACCCCGGGGAGGGGGGTGCATTGGGTGGAGCTGGAAGTGGGGTGCAAAGTGCACTGGGGGTGTTGGGAATTGGGTCTGCAGCAGGGACAGGGCGGGGGCGCGGGGCGAGTGTCCATCAGAAGCACAATACAGAGTGGCTCTCTGGGGAGCTGGCCTGAGAACCACCTTCCGTGGTGGGGAGGCCCGGCGGAGACCTTCCTGTGGAGAGAGGAGCCCCGTCTTCTATATATAGCCTGACCCTGCAGGGTCTAGTACCAGAATAAGCCAAGATTAGTCAGGCCGGCTGCAGCTGCTGCCAGGGAAGGACACAGAGCTCGTTATGCTGGTGCCATTTTGAGCATGAATTTCCAGGGAGAGGTTTATTGTACTGAGGGTTCACCCTCTCCCCTCCTTAATCCCACCTGGATCAGACTCCCACAGGCCCGGAGTCCCCCTGAGTCACATGGCCCATAATCCTGGACCATCTCTTCCAGGCGCGGTCAGGTACAGTTTGTATCAGCCCTTGTTGCTCACTGGTTCTGGGGTGACCTACCTGGGTTCTGTGCCTTCTCTGACCCACAGGCCTGGGTGAAACACTGACACCCCCTCTGCATTGCATTAGTGTTGGTATTACAGAAGCACCTAGGTCGGGGCCTTGCACAGAGCCCCAACCATGATCAGGGCCCATCCCGCATCGTGCCGGGTGCTACGCAGGCCCCCGTCATGCCAGATCCTGCACAGACATATAGTGAGAGACAGTCCCAGCCCTGAAGATTGTACAGTATGCACAGAGGAAGGCTGGGTATAAGGAATTATTATTGTACCCATTTTGCAGGCAGCGAAACTGAGGCACGGGTATGCCGTAACTTGCCTCAGGTCTGTGTGTGGCAGAGGTGGAACCTGAGCCCAGTTCTCCTTTGTCTGCCTGTCACTTTAGATTCTTTGGGGCAGGGACCGTCTCTTACTCTGTGCAGCGACCGGTGCGTGACAGGGGACCCCAATCTCAGCTCTGGCTTGTAGGTGCCCCCATAGTCCAAAATTACAGTCCTAGAAGTGACCGGTTTCAGAGTGGTCTGTATCAGCGAAAAGAACGAGGAGTACTTGTGGCATCTTAGAGACTAACAAATTTATTTGAGCATAAGCTTTCGTGGGCTAAAACTCTCTTGATCGGATGCATGCAGTGGAAAATACAGAAGGAAGATATATATACACACGGAGGACATGAAAAAATGGGTGTTGCCATACAAACTATAACAAGTAATCAATTAAGGTGGGCTATTAGCAGCAGGAGAACACTTCAACCTCCCTGGTCACTCAATTACAGACCTCGAAGTCGCAATACTCCAACAAAAAACTTCAAAAACAGACTCCAACGAGAAACTGCAGAACTGGAATTAATTTGCAAACTGGACACCAGTAAATTAGGTTTGAATAAAGACTGGGAGTGGATGGGTCATTACACAAAGTAAAAACTATTTCCCCATGCAATTTTTTTCCCTACTATTACTCGCACCTTCTTGTCAACTGTTGGAAATGGACCATCCTGATTATCACTACAAAAGGTTTTTTTTCCCCTCTTCTGCTGCTAATAGCCCACCTTAATGATTACTCTCGTTATAGTTGGTATGGCAACACCCATTTTTCATGTCCTCTGTGTGTATATATATCTTCCTACTGTATTTTCCACTGCCTGCGTCCGATGAAATGGGTATTAGCCCATGAAAGCTTATGCTCAAATAAATTTGTTAGTCTCTAAGGTGTCACAAGGACTCCTAGTCCTAGAAGTGGTGCATTTAAAAGGCCTTTCATCCTATGAGCGATCGGGCTTGTTTTGTGTCCATCCCACCTACTCAGGAATCGGCTGTGAACTTCTGGCTCCGTTTTTAAAGAGCTTTTATCGCCTCGGTCAATATAAAAGTGGGTTATAACAGAGCGTAACTGAACAGGACGAAATCTGGAGCAGGATCTCCTCCTCGCAGGCCCGACCCCCTCGTTAATTGTCCCGTGGCCCCTTTGCCAGCTCTCTGTACCCGCTTGGGTGCCTGCCTGCGGTGGAATTCTCAGCCGGGTGAGATCAGCAGGGTGGGCCTTTTGTCCCCAAAGAAATCAAAGCTTAGAGCAATAATAACCCAGCTTCCGTCCTTTAATTGGTTATAGTTCTCCCCCCCCCCGGTTCTGCGGCCGGCCTGAGAGCAGCCTTGCTGGGTCTGAACTGGGTCAGGGGGAGAGATCCAAGGCGTGGATCCGGCATGAAGAACTTGAGATCGAGGGCAGGCGTTGCCAAGAGGAGCTGGTGCCCGTTAATTATTAATTGCCGACTGCCTTGGCACGGGGCCCTCCTGTTGTGTCCGGCCTGTCAAACGCATCCGCAGATGAAACCTGACGTTTGCCAGCTTGTCGAGTTATTAGGGGTGTTGTGGTATCCCGTAGAGACCTCAGCTGCGATCGGGGCGGGGGGCATCCTGCCGGGTGAGAGCCAGTCCCGTGCTCCAAAGAGCTCACAGCCTAAATAGACCAAAGAGGGGAGGGGAAAAAGAGGCACAGAGCCCCAGTGCTTTGCCCAAGGTCGCCCAGAGGCTGAGCTGGGAAACAGAACCACGGCCCTCATCTGCCCCCTGTGCTCCGGCAGAGCTGGGTCACCAGCAAGCCCTGATTCTCCCCCCAACCCGCGCCCCGTTCCCGAGCATGCTGACACGGCCGCGCCGGAGCCTTGGAGTGTAGACGCCACGTCCAGCGGCAGCAGCGCGTTTCTGGCAACATGAGAACATCCCCTGCCCGGGCGACGGGAGCGTCCGACCTAGCTGCGTCTACACCAGGGGTTAGGGTGGTTAGTTACGGCGCTCGGGGGTTGGGCTCTTCACTCCCCTGAGCTGACAGGCGGAGCCGGCGCTGGCCCCGGCTGCGGGAATAAGAGGCTGAGACGGTTCCAGAATAGAACAACATGTTCTCCCGCGGGAGGGGGATGGGCTCAGGCTGGTGCCGCTTCGACTGGTGGAAATCCTCTCCTAGGAAGAGACTGAGATCAGAGGCTGGCGGGGGCGGGGGCGGGGGGGGGTCACGTAGAGGGCAACCAGATCCATGAAGGGGAAGATGGGTCTGGCACAACTGAGTAGATCAGTGGCCTGACGCCTAACACCCCCAGCCCCCACTCTGCCCTCTAAGCCCCACTCTCCCCCCCCAGAGCTGGGGATAGAACCCAGGAGTCCTGATTCCCAATTCTCCCCCACCCCCAACCACTAGGCTCTGCTCCCTTCCCAGACTTGCAGCTAGAACCCAGGGGTCCTGAGTTGCAACCCTCCGACTCTAACCACTAGACCCCACTCCCTCCACCCTCTTTGAACCTGACTTCTCTTGCCCGGACAGACAGACAGACAGGGATGTCCTGCAGGAACGTGTTGCTGACTGGCTGCTCCTCCGGGATCGGGCTGGCTCTGGCCGTCCGGCTGGCTAAAGATGAGCTGAAGAGATTCCGAGGTGAGAGGGTCGGGCTGGGGATTATAAAGAGCTGGAGAAGAGGAGGAACATGCCGCAAAGGGCAGGGAAATGATAACGATCTTACAACTTCTATGGCCTTTTGTCCCCAGGAGTTTTATAGCCCTATATACCGAATCACTTCTCCCACCACTGAGATGCAGCCACCTCTGGGGTGGGATGTGGCCGCTGTTAATACAGAGATCATTCAGCCAGTGCTGAAAGGCAGCCACCTTTGGGTGGGATGGGGCATGGGAACAGTTTATGCAGGGTTCGCTCACCCACTGCTGAGATGCAGCTGCCTCTGGAGTAGGGTTTGGCTGGTGTGTAACAGCCGCGCTGCATGGGAGTTTAGGACAAGACGCGCAGAGTGCTTTGTTCACTCGAAGCTGCAGGGAGAGTCTACGGAGGCAGAATGTAATTAGCCAACGGGTGGGGCAGGAAGGGGCATCCAACATCCTGAATCATGTGAAAATTGCCCTGTGATCTCTGATGGGGCAGGACCCTGATCAGGTAAACGGCACCATTCTGCCTCACAGCACCCACTGGGGTCACACTGGCATAGCCTGCAAGGGGAGACCGCCCCCTACTGAGCCCCCACCCTGGTTCTGCAGCACAGTTCCCCCTAGTGCATTAGTCTGCGCAGACAGTCCCCCTCCCCCAACCAACCCAGTGCCCCCTACTGAGCCCCTCACCCTGCAGCCCCCATCTTAGCCCTGGGAGTCTCCCATCCAAGCACCAACCAGGCCTGAGCCTGCTTAGCACAGGAGTGGGGCCCTGAGCTTCCTGGCTGGTTTGAACCCCCGTGCCCACTCCATCTCTCTGCCTAGTCATCGCCACCATGAGGAACCTGGACAAGCGGGAGGCCTTGGAGAAGCAGGCGGGGCCGGCGCTGGACAAGACCCTGGAAATCCGCCAGATGGACGTGACCAGCGAGGAATCCATCCGGCGCTGCGTGGAGGGCATTCCCCAGCGGAGAGTGGACGTGCTGGGTAGGAGAGCCGGCCTGGCCTCTCGGGGCTGCGTGGGATGCCTTCCTTGGAACGCATCCGGTGTTGGGGAGGTTGGGGGACCGCTGCACTCTTCCCTTACTCCCTCACCCCACAGATGCACCGTGGGAGAGTGGGCTGGAGCAGCTGGGGGTTCCTCCAGAGGAGGGAGTCTAAGGAATGTCTTGTCTTGGGTACCTTGGACCCCGCCCACTTAGACGCACCCATTTAGGCCCTGCCCATTTAGACCCCACCCACTTAGACTCCACCCATTTTTCTAGCCTGTAATTTACACAGCCCCTTACAGGTAGCTTCTGCAATTTGCCCCCCTGAGTCTCTACTCCCCTCTGCCCCTGACTCCTGGGTGCGTCAGTGGCACGTCCTGAGCTCAAGTAAATGGAGGAGCTAGGTGGCTTCGCCCTGCCCGTTTGCTCCCACTAAAAATCCAGCCACGAGTGCGAGGGCAGGTTCTGGCCCTTCGGCGCGAAGGTTGTTTTGTGGGGTAGGGGGCAGTTGATACCGGAACTCACGCGCGTGCGCTCGACTGGCCTTGCTGGGTGGTGACCCAGCGGCGGGTTCGGCTGAACAGAGAAGGGGCCGCTCTGTAAAGTGGGGATCTCTATGCGTTCCCCGGTAGAGCTGAGTCCCCGCTCAGGGGGAGCGTAGGAATCGTCATATGGGATCAAACCCACGGGCCCATCTAGCCGGATATCCTCCATGTCCTGCTACCTTGGATGGGCCCATCTAGGATGTCCGGCCATGAGGCCTGTGGGGTCGCCCCACCTGAAGGAAAGGATCCGGAGCCCCACGGTGTGGGCCAGCCAGAGAGCCGGATGGGCCATTTGTGCCTCTGCTGGGGGGAAAAGGAGATCCTGGCTCCCCTCCCCCTGTCTCAGTGGGACTCCCCACTCCCAATCGGCGCTCACCCCCCAGTGGAGGAGGGAGCTACAGCAGCTGCCATACCCTGGGGGGTTCCTGGGGCTCACGCGCCCCCCTCCGTTGCAGTGAACAACGCGGGGCTGGGCATGATCGGGCCGGTGGAGAGCCAGAGCATCGCTGCCATGAAGAGTCTCTTTGACACCAACTTCTTCGGGCTGGTGCGGCTGGTGCGCGAAGTTTTCCCCGACATGAAGCGCCGGCGCCGGGGCCACGTCGTGGTGATGAGCAGCGTGCTGGGGCTGCAAGGTGAGACCGGGGCGGGGGGCTGTGGCCCCTGGGGACTGGCTGCACCTTGCTGATTTTGGGGGGGGGACAGGTCCAGGCTCCTGTTGATGGCCCCTGCTGTGTGGAAACCACCCGGCGCCCCAGCCTGCCCGCCCGTGGGACCCTGCCTCCCCTCTCCTGCTGGGACCCTGAGCCCTGGGCTCTCCCACCCCCCATGAGACACTGACCCCAGTGTGCTGGGTTCTGTATGATATTTATTAGGTGTATTACGGTAGCCCCAGCCAGGGCCCCACTGTGCTAGGCGCTGTACAAACGCAGAGCAAGAAGCTGGTCTCTCTGCCTTGAGATATAAGACAGGAGACAGACGGGGGAGGCCCAGGAGCTGGTGGGACAATTCAGGTCAGTACCACGGGCAGGTGTCTCCACTCCCCAGTGGCCGACCCCTCGTCAAGTTCTGGGCAGGCCCTCCTGGCAGAGCAAAGCCTCACCCTTGTCCAGCCCAGCTTCCCCCCCCCCCCGCTTCACCCCGGGGGGCTGAATTGCTCTCCCCTCTGCTCCCCAGGCCTCATCTTCAACGACATCTACTCCGCCTCCAAGTTCGCTGTGGAGGGTTTCTGTGAGAGCTTGGCCCTGCAGGCGCTGAAGTTTGGCGTGAAGTAAGTCCGGGGGGCAGGGCTGTGTAGGGGAGATGAGCCCCAGCGCTACAGGGGGGCAATGGACATTCCCAGCCGCCGTCCCGTCTGAAGCTCGGAGGGGTTGCAGGCAGGTGGCTGCAGGGAGTGGATGGGAGGTGCCTGGTTGCTCCATTGATCCATTAGAACGACTTGGCAGCCCCCACTGCTGCTGACTTTGCTGGTGCTCAGATAAGGGGGATGGACCCACCGAGGCTGTGAGGGGTGGGGTCCAGGTGGCCTCTCCCTCCCCTCCGCCCCATGCGCATCCTAGCACTGTTGGCTTAGTGCATCGCGTGTGCACGGAAGGGGAGGTATCGACCGCAGTGCTGGGACCTTAGGCTGGGTGCAGCAGGCGTAAGGATATTGGATTATATGGCCCAGCCATCTGAGACGGCAATGCAGGGAGGTGGGATCCCAGAGTTGGTGGGAGGAAGGGATGGAGGTAGGGGGGTGGCGGGAGGGAGGGAACAGTGGGTAGGTAGAGGGAGGAAGGGCTGGAAGGAGGAATGGATGGGTGGAGCAGTGGG